ATTAGGATCACAAATTGCTTGGGCGTAAACATCTGCTTAAAGGTAGATAGACAGATAGGTACATCAAAACAGAATTTGGTTAAGAAATGTGTAAGTTGAAATTATCACACTTCACTACCAGCCTCTTCGGGTCGACGCATTCAACTACTTTACCACCTTTCCTTAAACTAGGAGATGCTTCAGATCGGCCTTGAAGCATCACCTTACACTTGATAGGTGTGAAACACATGCCAAACGTACTCGTATCTCCGATCAAGGCTTTCAGAAGACGCTGCATTTTGTCAGCGTCTTCATCTAACAGGACAGTATCGCCTGTGTATACCAGTTCAACCGGATGAACTCCAAGGGGTCAATCAGCCTCTGTGAAGTGAGAAGTGCCTATGGTCTCACCAATCAATATATCTATAGAGAAGTAAGTTAGAAACTGAAACATCAGAAACCTATGTCACTTCAGATGAACTGACGAAATATACCCATTTATTCATTAACAAGAACAAGGCATGTATCAGGGAAGAAATATTTCTTCGGTGATACTTCAGATGAAAACTTTCCGTAAGCACTTACAGGACTGCGATAATTCAAGTAGAGAGCTTTGGCTAGCTCCAAGCGCTTGCTGGGTACCCCATTCATGGTCAGACACTTCCACATCTCATGATCAGCGAAGTCACTTTCAGATCAAGAAATGTGGCAAGTATCAGCCGCTGGTAAGTCTGTTCATGTTCTAAAACCCGTTGATGGGTGGAGATCTGATTGATACACTTTCGCTTAAGTCTGAAACCTACCTAGTTTCCTCTGATTTGGTAATCTCCGTCTCAATTCAGACATCCAATAACCATGTATTAAAAGATTTTAGATAAGATGTTAGTCAACCTGATTTCCTTATGGTTATCACACGAACTTCTCTCCTTTCTTATAGGACTGCAATTATCAGCAATCTAGACCCGCCTGATGGCACAACCTCCGATTTTGATGGTGTTGTGTTCCCTGAGCCGGATGGGTTAATAGTAAAGCTTTCATTGTCACTCTAGACAACATTATCAGCACAAAAATCAGAAAGAAGTTTGTACCGATGATATGAAGTGAGACCAGGTGAATAGCCTTATTTGGTTCGTGGATACTTGTCTTAGAAACAAAGCACACATCCATGATTCGAGATTCCAGAGTTCTTGCAATGAATGTCTGTTGTCCGACTAGGCATCGAGTACGGACGCTGGAAGTTCGATTGTGCGGTCGACGGCTGTGTCTTAGGAAACAAGAAATGGTGTTTAACAAACTTGGATGGTTAACAATGATCACAGCATGAGCCATTAAAGAAGTCAAGAGGTGAAGGCAAGAGAAGAGACAAGGGTAAGGAAGAAAGATGATAGCTGATCAGATTTCATATACTACTGAAAGCGTGAGGGTGGTTGACAGTTCTCGGTTGTCTACATCGTAGTAGCTGTTTCTGTAAGGTACGTGGAAGAGAATATAGATCAGTTTTGTGTGGTCGTAGAGCAAAAGTGACATCTAATTGAGACCGGTCAAATACGACCTTTTAATAGTTTCGGACTGATATATCCACAGTGTTTCAGTAGTCGACTACAATTAAGGTGATCGACTCGTCAAAGTAGGTTCACAAATCAATTCAGTAAAGTTAGTAGTTCACACTATCCTCTTTGACATGATAAATTCTTATGTTGAAGGTGTTTACACCACTTCTCAAATAAACATTGCCTTTTAAAGAAAATAAAATTGAAAATCGACAGTATTCATTGAAATGATTTCATGGAACAGTGTAGAGACCTTACTTTATAATTCAGAAAACTAATACCTACAAAATGAAGATAAACAATGTGAGCGAAAAAATATTTCTTTCCAGTTAGTTCCTCATCAATGGCTCTACACTAATATAACATTTTAAAAACGTAAAATTACATACCATTCTAGTGGTGAGAGTTGTTTAATGAAAGATTGTCAATCTCATAGTATCAAGAAGGTGATAATTGATTAGGTAATTAAAACAATTAACTAAAGCATGGATTAATTATAGTAGAAAGATTTTGTGAAATTTTAAACAGGTTCTTACATAATTGATATTTTGTATAGTGGTAACTAAAGAGCGAGAATGAACTGTTAGGTAAAGTGGTAAGTTGTTGACGGTAATTAGAAACAGTAAAGGGAGAAGAAAATGGCTAAAACTGTAATAATAATAATAATAATAATAATAGAGTTATTAAAATATTAGTGATAATCAGTTGTGGGATGAATGGAATGAAGGGTCTTGTTGGAATAAATAAGCTATACAGATGGCCAAGGAGAAGAAAGTGGCTGTACGAATTTCTTCTGAACACACAGACTTGACTTGCTTGGGTGGATTCCTATGGCTTTTGCTGTATGTAAAAGACGAACTCATAGAGCATGGGTGCATTACCGAAAATGAAGTTTGATATCAGCTAAAATAGTGAAATAACTTAAAGATTCCAGAAGCTGGTAAAGTGTTCTTTTGAAAGTTTAGTTTTTTGCGCTAATGAGTCAGGTGGGATACCACTTAGTCAGATGAGAACTAACTTTTTAGGTGAATCCTTTTATCCACTTCCCTATTCATCAGCTAGATTTTGAATATTCAATTATCAATGGCCGACCATGATTCATGTACTTCTTCGAAGGGTAATGAGTCTTTCTGTCAGTCTTAAACGTCGATATGGAATACGAAGATCGGTCCGTCAGTAAAGGCTACCTCAGGTAGTGCAATAAACATACGCCTATTTTATTCTTCTATCTAGTTCAGATAAATAGGCAGACGGAAGAAATCAGAGTAAAACTTCACACACAAGTGCATCGGTTCAAATTGCCATACTGCACAGTAGTAAACAAAGAGTAGGCGGATAGAAATAAAGTGATATGAAAATTGACATAGCTGTGTGAGGGAATTAACAAATTGAAGATAACAGTAAGTGTAAATATTCAAGCTTTAGAAGACGTCAACGAGGGAATACATCTGAGCCAATGCAACCGATTTCAGCCAAGTCACCAAGAGTCAGTCTTCAACCACTAATTCCTCTGGTCTTGAAGACCCCAACCAGTCTACATTTCCTCACACGACCAGCAGACCAACGGTCATGGACATCATTCATTGGTATCAAGTCTTGGTCTGGCTGCACTGTACCCTCTCTCAACGTAGTCCAACTTCTGGTCGAGGTAGGCGGTGACTCGATATGTGCAACACATGTGAAAGTCACGTCAGTCGATGAAGGTTCACAGCTTCACAGGCTGACTTGTCTTTCTTCCTCAGTACCCTTCACCTGACACCAACATTGCTAACATGGTGATTGCACTAAACACGAGCGATGCTACCAAGAAACCTATGATGAAAATCCTGAAGCTGCTTAATGTCTTTTTCTTTTAACGGTTATGTATCACAGACATAGAGAAGACGAGGATACACTGGTTGACCGATGAAAAGAACTTTGAAGATTTGGATTTCACTGATGACTTATGTCTAATGTCACAGAAACTTGAAGATCCACAGGCGAAAACTAACAAGTTGACAGAAGAGGCAGCGAAGACGGAACATCCTTCAAGCGAATGTAGAGAAGACAGAGGTGGTGAAGATACCCAACCACCACCACCAACAACAATCTCCAATCACCACCAACGGGAGAAACTTAAGGGAAGTAGCCTCCTTCACCTATCTAGGCAGCATTGTTTCAACTACAGGCGGCACAGGCACAGACGAGGATGTCAAAGCCAGGATCAGAAAAGCAAGACAGAAGTTCATTAACCTGAAACCAGTGTGGAGATCTACTTCACTCAGCATGAAGCGTGAACAACATCCTGATTTTCAACACCAACGTCAAGTCAGTGCTCCTGTATGGTTCAGAGACTCGACGCGTTATGAAATGGATTTCCAACAAACTACAGACACACATCATCAACAACTGCCTAGGCTGGCTCGTTACTGAAGCTCAGATGGCCAGAAAGAATAAGCAACAAGAAACTCACTATGGCTGGCAACGAACTAATCAACAACCCATCGCCTAATAAACACGCAGAAGAAGAAAGTGGAGATGGATTGGGCATACACTGAGAAGACCGGCTGGGGACATCACGCGTCAGGCCGTCAACTGGAACCCGGTGTGAAGCGACGAGTTGGGCGTCCGAGGGTGACATGGAGGAGATAGTGTGAGGAGGAAATGAGAGCTTCTGGGCTGTGTGCAGCCAGGTTCAAAAGATTTCAGAGAACAGAGAGCACTGGAGACGTGCTACTGAAGCCCTATGTTCCATTAGAAACCCAAGCGATAAATAATAATAATAATAATAGAAATGAACGATGAGTAAATTTCATAAAACAATGAGTCTAAGTAGATTTGCTGGTGTATGTGATCAAATTAAGTAGATATCATTGACAAGCTTTCGCCTCACTTTGAATCAGAAGCATATAACTGATTTGTTTTCACCACGTTAAATGCTTAGCCAAGTTTCTCCTCTCAATTTCATTCCACCTAAATTGCTGTATGGCTGTGATATTATTATATTAATATTATTTCTCTCTTGGGTTCCTAGTGGAACATACAGCTTCAGTAGCACGTCTCCATTTCACTCTCTTCCCTCCAGTCTTTTCAACCTGGCTCCACGACTGCCCACAAGCTTTCATTTCTTCCTCACACCATCTACTATATGTTACCCTCACCTCGGACGCCTACCCCCTTTATAGTGCATAAAATACCTATTAACAACTTCATACTCATGTTGTTTACATACGTGGGTCATTTATTTTCCCTGCTTAAAAATCTCATTAACAGCATGAAGCAAGTAGATTCATTTTACAGCACTCACTTAGCATTTAAATGATACACAAATCTATAGTTCGTTACAACCTCCAATAGAGTCATCACTGATTCATATTTAACTTTCTGTTTATTTTATCCGCCTACTTAAAATCACGACACATTAAAACAAAATGTTACCGAAGGAATTAATACCTGAATTTAGCCTTTTAATGTAAGAAAAATAGAAAGAGAAATCTTGCATACTTTACATGATCATTTTTGTATTTCTCAGTAAAAACAAAAAGGAATCAATAGTAAAGGTTAATAATCTTAGGATTTTTGTGTAACTTCTTCAATTATCTTGACCAAAGTTTGTATAAAATTTTTAATCTAAAATAGAAAAGATTAAAACAAAAGTTATGAACTAAAATGAATCAAATATATACACATAAGTGAATATCTACTTTTACCAAATGACTACAATAGATTCCTTCTCTAACAATAATGAGAATACAAGTGTGTTACAACGAAACATTCGTCAGACACTTATGTACAACGTTAAAGTGTCTGAGAAAGTCTTGATTAGCATTTGAAAAATATATTTCAAATTCTGATCAAAATACGTCTTAATCATTGACCTAGTAATGACTTCCGTTCAGATAAAAAAAAACAACTAAAAAGATAGGCTACACTAGAGTGCAGCTAGATGCAGCTATGACGAGTCCCAGATAAGTCGAATCACACATCCTTGACTCCTCCGCTATTCACTGCGAGCCGAATTATATAAAATTATGTTCAGAAACGTCAGTTTAGTTTTCCTATGAGATAAATGTACCGAATTCGTAAGACAGTGAAACATATGTTATCAGTTAGGGTGAACCTAACATGACACCTTGTAACTAAAATAAGATTAGTATCTTGTTGTCATATGCGTATCATATCTCTAAAAGTAGCGCACTGAGTTAGTAACCCAATACAAATCTTGTCATAACTCATACTTTTCTTAGATTCATTCATCATTTTGGTGTTAGCATTTATGGATTTTGTAGATGAGAAAGATCCTGACTTTGGAATTTTATTATAACTTAGAATTACTATAACTCAGCGACTTGGTAGAGGTGTACACTGCAGACCCTGTAATACACCTAATATGTGAATGCTGATGATACTATGGGATAGTTTGGGCTGGAGAGGTAAGACAGTTGATGTGGTTTTGAGCCTTCATCGACTGAGATGGCTGGAACATGTGTTACGCAAGCCTAACCACCGTCTTCCTCATCCCACAATGTTCGCCGAAGTAGGTTCGAGCTGGAAAAAGACTTGGAGTGACCAAACTAAAACATAGAATCAATACATAAAGTCCTTGACTGTTCGTCTAAGCCAAGTAGAGCGATGCAGACTTGCCGGTTGGAGTCCCTGGGACAAGAGAAAACAATAGTTGGAGGCTTTAGGTAAAACGGTTCAGAACTGATATCAGTGGTGCAGATGTACACGTATATTATCCTCGCCTAATACCCTATACCTAATCTCATCGTCTTCTCACTTTTCCAACCTCTCTTTTACTACTTTCAACTTCTACTTCCTTTGACCGAGTTTTCTTCGCGTCTTCATCTTCCATTTTATTGCCTTGTTATTTGGTGTATTGATATGACGTACGGCAACTTGGACCGTTATGCAGTAATGCCCGGTCCCATGTTAACCTTGATGATGGAGTAAAAAAGAATTGATCAAAATTGTTATCTAATATAAATACGGTTATCGGAACACTGGTCAGTGAACCACGGCTTTTTAGATGAGAATAAACAAACTTCTCTAGATGCTAGGATTTGCAGATTTGCACTATTAGAGCTCATAAACAAAAAAACCCAACTAACTCCATTGCCTCAAATGAAAGTTAACCCATTGACTGGGAATTATTCTAAGTGGATAAAAATGTTCACTTACTGATAGCGATGCCTAACATTACCAAAATGAGCGATTTCAGACATTACACGTAATTTTTTCTAATTTTTGTCAGTGGAAGCGATGGACCAACTTTTAATTTTTCCATTTGTCCTAGAAAATTTAACAGTTTGCATCTGCTTACCACCAGTAATGTCGTATCTTACCAACTATCACCTTCAAGCTATTAGTAGATTTTGTCGCCATAACTGATGCATTGATGAAAGTTAACTGACGGATCAATCGGCTACGCCAATGAATATTATGTTTTGTGAATTCACGAGTAAGTATTCACTCTCTACATATAGACTTTCATAGATTACTCATCTGGTGTATAGGAGTAGTGGCAGGTAGTGGAAAAATGTGTCTTACAACCGGTTCGAGTTAAGAAACAATCTTGACACAATTACCACTACACATTGTCTCCCTGTACTTTAGCGAAAGAACAATATTTAAGTCTGACAAATTGATTAGAACATCACACTCTATGACGTCAGTGTTTTCATGTACAGTTAACAAAGTAGAATACAGACAATAACATCAAGTGTTTAATTCCAAGACAAAGTTAGTCTTAGAGTGTCACTTGTAAGATATTAATTGTGTGCCATATGGCTATTTGTATACCTGATTTGTTGTACATTAGTAAACAGAAACGATATTATCTAAGTTTTACCTCTTAATCTAAAGTTCACAGTTTGGCTGTCTATTCAATTTGACTTGATTTCTTAGATGTATCACAAAGTGAAACAGTATTATTCACAGTATTCACATTATTATTTGTTTACAAGAAGTTGCACAGCATCCGTAGTTATGCTGAAGAACTAAAATGTGAACTAATGAAAAGATTATGAACTCCTGGTCGATAACTTCAACAAAGTGAGACTAGTCACCTTTAAAAAAATCCAAGAGCACTCAAACAAAGAAGTTCAGCAAGCTAACTGGAGAAAAATACCCAGTTGAGAATAATGAGATTCCAGGTAGCACGTCACCACTCAACGATAAAACAGAGTGGGTTGTTATTCTCTAAACTAGGGTTCTAAGCTCAACAGAAAGAAAAGATCCTGGAGAAGGGATTTAATTTTGATGTAGCAGTTAATGAACTGGAACCTGAAGATGTCATTCTAAATTGAAATAGCATTAACTTCAGTAGATAACGTAACCTCGCCTGGTTAACTAGTTCACTAGTTACTAGCCGGTCCTAAGCCCGATAAAGAGGGATGGTTGGGCGTAGGGCTAGCAACCCTACCCCGTAAAACCAATCCGGTTGCTAAAGAAACTTCGGAGCACAAACAAAATATGAAAAATAAAAACAGACTTATTACTCGCTGGAATCGGAGAGATGAAATGAAGCCGGTTGGTGAAAGCCTTCGGGAAGCCAATAGGCCGATATGTCTTCTCTTGATGAAAGCGAAAGCAGGGATGGGAATGTGGAATGTCCGCACCATGTATGAACCTATCAAGGAAGTCTTTGCAAGAACTGGGGAGGATCATGCTCCTGTCCACCCCAAGTAAAATATTACGTTGCATCATCCTCGAGAGACTAAACAATGCTCTCCATTCAAAATTACGACCAGAACAGGCTGGTTTCAGGACAGCAAATTATGTGGCGATCAAACTGCAACGCTACGATACGCATAATCATAGAAAAGAGTATAGAACGGCAGTCAACTCTCTACCTCAACTTCATCGACTTTGAAAATCCTTCGACAGCGTCGACCGAGAAGTAATTTGGCAGTTGCTTCAACACTACGCAATACCACAAACCTTTAAAATCTCATTCAAAAGCTATATGATGACGCCGCATACCAAGTGATTCACAATGGAAAGCTCAGTGACGCCTTTGAAGTGAAGTGAAGAGAGGGGTAAATCAAGACAAGGTTGCCTACCATCACCAACGACCTTCCTGATTGTGGTGGACTGGATCATGTAGCAAACCGTAAGGAAAGCGAAGACGAAAATACACTGGTTGACCGATGAAAAGACCTTCGAAGATTGGGATTTCACCCGTGATGATTTGTGTCTAATATCGCACAAACTCGAAGATCTACAGGAAAGAACCACCAACTGACAGAAGAGGTTGGGCACCGAAGACAGCATTTCCTTCACGTGAACGTAGAGAAGACAGAGGTGATGAAGATAATCAACCAACCAACCAACCACCACCACCAACAACAACAAACACCAATCGCCATCAACCATAGAAACCTAAAGGAAGTAGTCTCTCTCACCTACCTAGGTGGCATCGTCTCAACTACAAGCAGCATAGGCACACATGAGGATATCAAAGTCAGCCACTATCAGAAAGACAGCAAGACAGGCCTTCATGCATGAATCTGAAATCAGTGTGGAGATCTACTGCACTGCACTACACTCAGAGTAAAACGTGAACAACATCCAGATTTTCATCACCAATGTCAAGCCAGTGCTTCCATGTGATGGTCCAGAAACTTGGCTTGTCACGAAAAGCATTTCACAAAAAACTACAGACATACATCATCAGCAGCTGTCGCCTACGCTCACTCGATACTGAAGATCGGATCAGACGGCCAGAATAATAAAAATAAGCAACAAGGAAATCACTATGGCTGGCAACGAACCAACCAACAACAAATCGCTCAACAAATATGCAGAAGAAGGAGGTGGAGATGGATTGGATTAAATTGGACATATATTGAGAAGGCCGATTAGGAACACCACACACCAGGCCAAGGCGTCGAGTGGAATCCAAATGGGAAACGACGAGTTGGGCGTCCGTGGTGAAGGTGATATATAGTAGATAGTGTGAGGAAGAAATGAAAGCTTGTGGGCAGTCGTGGAGCCAGGTTGAAACGACTGGAGAGAAGAGAGTGAAATGGAGACGTGCTACTGAAGCTGTATATTCCACCAGGAACTCAAGGGACAAATAAAAAACTAATAATCACCAGTAGATAAGGTAGTGGCAGATGATGTGCCAGCATAATGTGCTCTAACGCTTAAGCTACAAAAGAAGAAGAAAGAGAATCTATCAAAAACAGAAATAAAAGCTTCGAAGTACCTTCCGAATGAAAACAATGTAGTAATTGTCAAATCAGACAAATACAACATAGCAGTAGTTTTCTCCAGTAAATAATACAGTTCCACTGTGTAATACACCTAATAAATGTAATCAAATCGAATGAAATTAAATTATACAACAGTGCCCAAGTTTGGGTCTGATATTCACTATCTACTCTCTCTTACACGTAAGTCCTTCTCCTACAGGTAAAATACTTCGATGATAATTTCCGGTAACTTAAGTTCTAATTGACCAATTTAATTAATTTAATCCAATGAAGTAGTTGTTTATGAATTCTTACATGCTATCCGTGGCTATTGTAGAAGAGCCTTTCTACTAGACAGAGGATTATATTCATCAGTCAAGAATAAACATACTGATTGAGGCATTTCTAAATTGATAGTGGTATTCACGCTTTGAATTTTGGACTCTGCACTAGTGCATTACGACCATGCAGGGAAAACCTCTGTTATATTGTTATTATTTACTCAGCAAATTCTCTTTATCCACGTCTCTGGTCGAATAGGTTTCTCAATTGATATTCATTTCTATAACTTCTGTTTTCTACATACAGTTTGTTGACTGTACACAATTATGAAGCATTTTAGCATGAAATAAAATCACTTGAGGAGATAAGCCAAACAATATGTAAAAATGAACTGAAGAAACTGTGAAAACCAGTATGTGGTGCATAGTGTTCACCCTCTACGTATCCGTCTACGAGAATATCAACTAGCAGTGAAGCGTCGTGACACATAGTTACTAATATCAATGCATACGGACAATTGTGGTGAAGAGTTTGACTGGGGAAATGTAAAAATCATATATATATATATATATATATATATATATATATATATATATATATATATTTGTTTTCTATGGTCTTGAGGATAGAAGACAGATTGGGTGCACTTCCATACACGACTGACAAAGTCAGAGATTTCATGGACTAGTGTCATATCTTGTTCTGACCACCCTCAGGATTCTTCCAATGCAGTCCAACTTCCCCTAGCATTGCATTTCCAGGAAGGCAGTGGCTCAACTTGCGCAACACATGTGTAATCTATCTCAGTCGATGAAGATTCATTGCCTCATTGACTGGTTTGTCTTCGTGATTTAGTGCCCTTTGCCTGACCTCATTAGTGCCCATACTTACATTCAAGCAAACGCGAGTAATGCCACTAGGATACCTATGATTAAAACCGTCTAACTGCTACATGGTGTCCTCTTTCAGTGGTCATGTCTCACAGCCTTAAAACAGGATAGAAGGGACTGCAGGGCAGTATACTCGTCCTTTAATACGTGATCAGAGATATCGCCGGCTCTACAGATAATGCACGTTGGAAAATGCCATACAGACATTTTGAATCAGATCACATTGTTTATTTGACGAAGCACACGGTGACACAGTATAATTCAGTTAATGACGTTTAGAGCAGGATTCATTTCCTATATTCATGTCAAAGACTGTGATATGAATACGAGCAATATATTTTGCTGGAAACATCGGTGGGTAATTTATACTGTGTTACTGTGTGCTACATCTAATAAACAATCTAATATAGGGTTGTACTCTACCATAGTGCCCAAGTTTCTTTCTTACATTCTGAATCAGAGCTAAAATTCCATCAACGACTAGGCTGTTTGGCCTAAAGTGATTTCTTAAGTAAGTGAAGTGATGAATTCACTCAACCACATCGCTGGCTATCATTAAGCTGGATGTAGTTAGAACCAAGTCCCGAAGCATCACCTGAAAGTTGCAAGATGAATGCTAACTATACCCAGACCACTGCTCAAGTTGTTCAGAAGACTCTACATTTTGTCAGCGTCTTCACCTAACATGACAATATCGTCTTTGTACTCCAAGTCAACCAGAAGCCCTTCAGGGAGTAGATCAATCCCTACAAAGTCAGGGGCACCTAAGTTTATATCCATTGATACATTAGTGACAAAGTCAAACACGAACATTGACGGTAGGAATCAAAATAGAATTAATTTACAAGTAGAAAGCTGGACAACACCAACTTAACATAAATGATGAAACCTGAAAACGAATAACTATAGATACGAAGAAATTATCTTTAGAAATTTAGGATAACAAAATGTTCTATGGTCTTTTTTCATACTTTGTTCTTATGCAAAATAGCTCTGATTTCAAAAATTTACACATTTGATCGACTTTTATTATTTGTATAATCTGTTTCTAAGCATTATAACCATAGAAGGCTACAAACATCATTCAGTCTTGAACAGGCCCAATGTAAACATGAAGTAACTAATGGAACCCGTTTACGGAAAACAACAAGTGAACTTAGTACACAGATCCAGTAAAGAATTATGGCACAAAGCATAATTTATTTAACGAGATAGTGCATAAAAAATATGTTGTTACACTATTATTTTCTAACTCCAGCTGATAAAAGACACCTTTCTGATAGAATGTAAAGATAGAAATCAGTTTTTCTTTAACTTATATTCATTTTTGAAGTTACTCTTGAGTATATTCAGACCAGCAATGAAAAAATAGTAGTTTTGTAAGCACATGGTGATATCTAAATGTATACAGATAGAGGGGAACAGAAAGACACTAGATCTTTTTAGTCTGCTTTATTTTATATCTGCTAACAGAAAAATGAAAAGCCTAAAGCTCAGACGAAAACGTCGATCCAAGTTATTCCATATGGTAACATCAAAGAAAGAAAGGATTAACGCAATGAAAAGAGAGGACAAGATATGCAGAAAGTAGTAAAACATTCATGCGTCAAAGTAAAATAAACAACCAATGAATCTTCCATATTATGATTGATCCTGAAACACAACATCTAGGATCTTACTGCTGTCTTTTAGTGAAAATACCATCAAAGAAGTGATGTGATAATTTAGCACCAATAAATTAATTTTTGATCAGTATGACGTATGTCAGATTCCTTGAAGAATACCAAATAACATTGATATACTCATCTCGCCACCTATAAAATTGGTATTTTGATGACCCGTGAGTAATAGGAACGGTTCAATCACACCATCTTTGCCATCGAAAAGTGGAAATGTTTCACTTTAATAAAAAACTTCGAAACTAGCTTACAGTGGTTTGCTGTTTCGTCAAAAGCCATTAAATCAAGTAAATTTAAATAGTAATGTGCGTCTAACATGATTTGAGCTTTCGAAGTCAACTAATGATAACTAATAAAAGACCGGTTTAATCTCTGAAACAAATTTCCAGAAAAAGGTTAGTGAGAAAGTTTGCTAAACAGTTGCCAAAATAGTCACTATAGCTGACTTAGTAACGGTAAATACTATCTCCTAAATGCTGCTGACCTATACCATTTTTATTGGGAGATATTTACTTGATATACTATTCTGACCTTAGCAAATGCTCTCAAGACAGAGAAACTAATAAATTTGTCTTCAGCAATGCGATTTCTAATCCTGTCATGATAAAATGTGCTCATCTACAGATGTGTGATGGTATAAAATTAGTCTCAGGAAACCGCCTTATTTATTTAGATCTGATGTAACACTTTATGTACATCTTCGAAATGTCATGTAAAATATAGGCTGAGGTATTATCGAGTTGTAAACCGCACCAGTGAACTGGAATCTTTGTTTAGTCAGAGAATTTAAAAATCGATTATCTAGAGTAAAGCTTAAGCCTAACGTCCAAAGCACCTTTACAGTTTAGAGGATCAACTGAACAAGATAAGTTTTAAATCAGCTCTGCCTTTTATTGGTTTTCCTGGCCAAATGACTTATAAATGTTACTGACTTACTGTCCGTAGTTGTCGACAAGTTTCATTTGGCTTTGCTGTCTCACCATACTTCTGGTGTGAGCGCACAAGTGTATACATGTTGGCAATAGCTCTATATGGATAAATTAGCAGGATAATATTTTGCCTTACATAACAATGGTGCTAAGTTCATAGATGCGATTTGCCGATATGTCTCTTGTGTGTTCCCATTGTGTTTCTTTGTTTCGCCCTTGCATCTGCTGAAGTCTCAAACGATTACGGAGTTCGGCGATTTCGTTTGTTAAAGAAAGTTTTTCGTCTTGTTTCATCTAAAAGCAGTATGCAAAACCAAATTCGTCAACAAACTTTCTTAAAATTAAATAACTCATGGTTTTTTCATCTATGATCCTCTGGTTCTTCGCATCCGAAGTCTTCAAATCCTAATACAATAAATGTAGCGTCAAAAGAATTACCTCTAAGTTAGCTTTCAGTGCATCGTATCGAGATATAAGCTCATAGACATCGGAAAATTCATCAGACGTTTTAACTACAGACTCAAGAAACAGCCGATACTTCAGAAGTGATTTGACTTTTTTTTCTTGCTTCTCACGTAGTTTCGAGAAACGTGATATATCTGCACTCAAACTATAAAAGATGATGCTTGTTAGCACACAAGTTACGCGTTGATTTCATTTTGCTTTTGATGCTGCAAGCTTTTCTCCGTTGATATCTTCTTCATTGCTCTCACTCTTTTCTCATCATTGTCTTTGAAAAACTGATCGAATTTAATGAGTGATTCTTTGAGTTCACACTCTTTTTTCTCAAGTTCTTCTCTTCTTCGTTGAACACACTCCATTTTAACCCTAAACTCCTGTTAGTGAAAGTAACACAGATCCACAGGTATTTCACCTCTTTCTTAGCAAGTAGTGCACTCTGCACATTTTTTAGCTCCTTGTATTTCTCAAGTAGCTTGGTTGAATTTGTTAGGTTTCTGTCTTCATCGGTAGGTGCGTTACTGAAAAACTCATCGAAAAGTCTTGTGACAATTACATTAAAAGTTTTTCATGAAAAACAGTCTTCAAATATTCTTCTATCGAAAATTCAGTATTTTTCAAAGCTTCTGAAAAAGGTTGAGAACCTTCGATCTGAGTTCCCATTGAAAGTTTACAGCTTGCGGTAACTAAGTTATAAGCAACTGTCATAAGCTTAAACGAAGACGAAGACGAAACTAATCCAATATTTAACAAGTACCCTACTGGTTTGTATAAACAGTCTGATTTCTTTACATTCGCTTTTAAGTCTGGCAATATTGTTCTCCTATTTCGAGGCACTCTAATGCAGCAAATTCAGTTGCTGGATGTCATTGCTTCGGCTTGAGCTTGTGTAAACCAGTTGATTTGTTTATCCTCTATTCTCGGTCTTTCGGAGTGGTTCAGTATGTTTAGGGGATTCTGACGCAGTAGGTCTAATCATGCACCTACTGTAGTTCCGGTATACCAGACTGGTGGTCGAGCGTCGATTAAATATGTTGGTGGGTTGGAAGATTTGAGCTAGAACTGTTAGCAAATGGTTCTTCAAGTGTCACCGGAAAGTTGTTTTCACCAACAGTAAAAAGAAGACAAGAAGGATGAAACGACGTCTAGCGAAAATGAAAAAGAGGAGATGAGAAAAACACCCTGAAAATAGGCGGAACGAAGATCCTGGAGATGAGGAAGAGAACATTGATGATGAGAACCTTGCTAAATCGAGTTAAATCACGGAGTCAAAGTGAGGGAAGGAAACAGGTAGATTATTTTGGGGCCAACGTGAAAAGCAGTGGTAATTTTACTGGTACGAGCATGGTAACTGTAGGTGAGACACCTAACATAGAAGCACAGGATTGGGTCAAGTTAGTGATAAAAAGACAACACAGAAGAGTGGACATATAGCTGAATGTGCTAGAATGCAACGAAATCAGCCGTTTTGTTCTCGTTCCTATGCAAGCTGGATGAATGCAAGCTTTGTGTTGCTGGGTAGCTGTCCAACCTTTCCCAAGACCGTCTGCAGTCGGGGTGATCGCGACCTTCTTAGTTAATGCATTCCCGTTGTCACAATCTCGGAGGCAAAGGGTCTATGAACGCACCCGAAACCTCGCCTCTTGATAGGCGGTTGTCCTTGGGTTACCACGAGGACTGGCACAGTGGCCGTCCGGTAGGGTTCCACTGTTCGAGTGACTCGAGTTGAGCAGTGTTTCTCACACCTTCAAGTGGCCAAGTAACATGCGATAACTAGGAGCACAAAACCTTAGGTCTACCAGAGTCCTCATGAGATTTTCGCTACATCCCCACAACGCCTTTCGTTATTCACCTCTGAACTTTTCCAGAAGGTTCACCTTTCTGTTGAAGTGTAGGGGTGGAACTACGCTGTGACCTTCAGGTGAAGTCGTATGTAGGTCTTGTGCGGCTTCGTGAAACGTTCTAGGATGATGCCGTCTGGTTTTATGTGCAGGAAATGTAGTGCTGCTGAGGCTGTGAAGGCATATTTAGATACTTGGAGAGGCATCTAGTATGTGAGTGCATATTGCTCCTAGATTCTTCCCCGTAGTTCCGTGGGAAAGTTGCGTATCACAGAGAGGGTAGCATGGGTTTTGCGAGTTACGAGCGAGCAGGAACACAGTTTCAGACTCATCCAAGTCGAACGCCATTCCGTTGGTATCCACTCACTCTGGGGGCAAACTTGGATCCCCTCGTAGCGCACCTGATTCTATTTTGAATGTTACAGCTCCCCATAACTTAACAAAGAGTGAAATAAAATCGGGAGATGAGATTTGATGGGAGGTCATTCACAAAAAGAAGAAGGGCAGCAGGCTCGAAACCGTTCTTTGAGATACACCAGACGATAATGAACTGCAAGTAGGCAAACCCTATCAGCTTTTGCGTAGAACTCTCTGCTACCTAAATAGTCCTACGGTCAGGATGAAACCTGACTGCTGATGCCTGACCTTGCGACCCTGCCAGCGAGAATGACGTGTGGCACGTGTAACAGGCCTTGGCGAAGTCCACTAGAATCACGGTAACAGGGATTTGGAGTCTGCAGCACGCTGTCCCGTTATCATCCGCTGCTGGAAAATCCGGTGATAGGACCTGCTATTTCTGAAACCGTCTTGAACATCACTGAGTGCCTTGACATGGCCGTCTAGCAGGCTTTCCTATATTTTAACAGGAGTGATGGAAGTGCTGTATATCGACATCACTTCTAGGTTCTTTCCATGTCTTTTATTGAAGATCGGAGAGTGATTGGCAAGTTCCCACCCTGGTGTAAACGTGTGCTTGTCTAGGGATTATTGGGAAAGATTACGAGCCGGACCACAAATGACATTCAGGTTGTTTTAACATAGACGACCAATTATCACTGCATCCAGGTGACTTTCGCGTGCCAGGCTTTGAAGCTTTCTCAAGGACTGCAACAGGGACCGTGTTTATCCAGCAGAACTCTTCTGTGCTACACGGTGCTGAATGCTGCTCAGGCAGTTGATGATTTCGGTGGGATGGGGGAACGCTTAGGTATGTAAAGGTGGTGCTAGAAGTCTGGTCAATCTGCAGCCCAGAGGGGGCCCCTCCGTCTGGACCTTTCATAGCGCGAGCCCCCTGGCTAGTATATTCTGACACTGCCGGGAATCGGTGTGGGTTTCTGGTGGTCGCCTCAAACCTCTTAAGAGTGTATGTTTGGAACGACCCCCTACCCCTCTCATCTTGATGTTACATCGATTCCTTAGGTCTATGTATGCGCTGTGGTCTTTTCGTTGTCGGAAATCTTTGTCGGAAATTTTTGCCGCGCTTTCCCTTGGCTTTGATGTACGTTCAGTGTCTCGTTTAATCATCAGGACAGTTGACGTAGCTTTGGTTTGGAGGGGGATGAATGACTTTCTTTGGGATTGTGGTGCGAGCGAGATTTTCAAACATCGTGTCGCCAGACGTTTATTCTGACTGATCGTCAAGTAAATGAAAGAAAATTAGGGAGGTAAAAGTTGAAATAGAAGGGGAAAAGGTGAGCAAAAGATAAGGAATGCCTAGGTAAACTTGTGAAGCGGGGAAAGAAAATGGTCACACGGGGGTCCAAATAAATACGGTTAGACAGGAGACAGTCTCACTATGTATCCTTCTTCCTACATGTTCAACATTTTGCGACCGATCACAGAAATTTGTCGGTTTTGAACCGTAGAGTCGATGCTTCAGGGTTGAGTTTGGTTATTGTTTGCCTCTTCACTCTCCCGGGTCGGAATATCTTTTCTGCTCTTCTTAGCTAGGTTCCTGCAGCCATGACTGTCATTGCTGGATTTATTTCCCCTCAGCCTATAAATAAATAAATAGATAGATGGATAAATGTTTTACTCTCGCGTTAAAAAAGTTTTTAACATGAGAAAGCCAGTGTACAGGCTTCATCACGTTGATACATCTCAAAATATCTACAAGACTTGAGCTCTGAGTGGTACTAACTGAATGTCATTAAACTCAATTAAAAACTGCCGAAGGTCCTGCTAGTTATGAAATGAACAAGGAAATATTACTTTACAGCGTACATAGAGTGTCAAAGTTTAGATAATAGTAAATATTGTCTTCATTTAACAGGTTTAACGTGAGGGATACCAGTTTACAAGCACCGTCAAATTCATAACTTTTGAAAGTATCTAGTATTAAATAATTTACACATCAAGTCATTAGTGTGCATAACCATATTAAAATTTACTGAAATTCATGAGACGGATATGGATGCCCATCTCCCATCACATGGACGGGTTCCATTATCAATATCAAAAGCACGCAGTGTTCAAAGTTTGCGTTATGACCAACCGACGTTGTTAGTCCATTCGCATAGGTTGCTGATCAGTAATATAACGGTTTATTACTTAGAATGATCCTTAGTTTTTAGTTTGCTAACCACAAAGGACCCAGTTATACAATCTGGAGTATCAATAAAGTATCCACAGTTTTATAACCAATGTGTATGGCTATATCAATGCATATCCAGGACACCATGTTACGTTTAAAGGTAATATAGATTAATTCTGCTGGGAATACTTGTTGTATTGAATGAAAAAAGATGTTGAAACAGTCAATAGTTCATAGACTTCGGGTATCTTTTGTATTAGCATAGGCGGCATCATTCGAGAAGTGTATTTGATGCGTAGTAAGTTCCATATGAAAGGGTCTGTTGGTACAGAGTACTAGAAAATATTTAGTGTGAAGCCATTGCAGGTAAGTGACGTCCTGAGCCAATATGAAAATTGGCCTCTGGTTTAATCATCTGTTCAGAATGTCTCTGCTACTAATACTGTTAGGAATGGTCAGACGGTTCGTCGCAAGAAAAATCATGACCATTAGGTGAGTTAATCTTGAAGATGGTCCAGAATTTGCGTAAGAGTGGGAGCAGTCCAATAATTATTGGCGTCAATGAGCAGGTGTTATTTCCATAAAGTAATCACGTTCAGACTGAATTTGAACATCAAATGTCGACTTGCAGCTGTTTCTGCAAATGAGGAAAGAAAGAAAAGGCACGAGCAGATATGGAAATGGAGATTACTAGGCTACCAAATTTGGAGAAGAGAGAAGTTCCTACTCTTTTTTGACTTATTCGGACTTTATGTACATTTTCATGTGTATATGTGAAGTCAACTACATAGTCCTTCCATTATAGGGTTATTAAGTCGTTTTTTGGGGGGGGTGGAGGGGGTGTACCGTAGTGGCTTTCAGTGATAAACAGTATTCTTTAAGTTCATTATACGGAGAGGAGCCAGTATTCATACCCTTGTATGCAGTCGTAAGGCCATCTGCATTAAAGGAACTTCAGGGCTTTAATAAAACCGATTCTTTCATTTAGAGGTCTGAGTACGTTCATAGTGGACGCAATGGCTTGACCATTGTTATGTGCCGATTGCTCCATTATGCTTCGTATTTGTGGATATAATATGAATGTCAAGAAATTTATAGATATCCGTGAGAAGAAAGAATTCGTTGAGTAGACGTCGAAACTGAAATGCAGACATGCAAGAGCGAATAAAATGTGGAAACTTATTCCATAACTTGCTGTACTGTAACATAAAGGATCGTGACCTAAGTTTAAGGTGGTGCTTTTCTACAGGTACAGTGCATTCACGATTGCGTAGACTATATGAAGATATAGGCTTAAAAGTAGGAGCGCAACAGGCGTGAGTAATGCCATGCAAAAGGCGGAAAAATAGGCTAAGGTTGAGCTTAAGGCGTCTTAGCCAAAGTGGGTCAATTTTTAGTTTCTTACACCTTCCCTCATAATCAAGTTCTTCGTGACGGCCCAGTACATAGCGGGTAAACTTTCTTTGAACATTCTCAATTAGTATCCTATCCGAAGCATACATATTGCTGAAGATGATTGTGCCATATTCAAGTACTGGGCGGATCATTACCTTGAATAAAAGCAGTCTGG